CAGTTCAGCGATCTACGGCTTCGAAATAATAAAATTAATAAATCAGTTCCAAAGTATTTTTTATAGCTCTTATTACCGTAATAATGTTGCTAAACTAAATATGTAACCCAAAAATATATAATTTGATGTAAATTGAATATTTAAGAGAAATATATGTTACTAGAAATCGAACACAACACCAGGCAGTGTTTTGTTCTATTTCATCGCCACAGTTCAGTGACCTACGGCTTCGAAATAATAAAATTAATAAATCAGTTCCAAAATAAGTATTTTTTATAGCTCTTATTATCGTAATAATGTTGCTAAACTAAATATATAACCCAAAAATATATAATTTGATGTAAATCGAATTGTTAAGGGAAATTTGTTACAGGATCAGGCTTAAACACCAGCCTACTTTAGGGTGTACGTATAGACTTAGTCTGCGTTCGTACAGTATGCACCCAGTGCCCTTAGCTTTGTCTGCGATTGACGTACAGTATTTATCCGCTGGTGGAAGAATAATCGTGGAATTTACCATTTTTTTACTACAGCTCTTTGGTTATAAAACAAAATGTCTCAGGGGCTTACTAATAGTGCCTTATTAATGCTAAAAATGAAGCAATATTTTGCAAGAACTAGTAGCAGAAAATCAACCAGCACGAGAACAGCCGTACCCAACACGAGAACAGCCGTACCCAGCACGAGAACAGCCGTACCCAGCATGAGAACAGCCGTACCCAGCAAGAGAACAGCCGTACCAAGCACGAGAACAGCCGAACCCAGCACGAGAACAGCCGTACCCAGCACGAGAACAGCCGTACTCAGCACGAGCACAGTTGTACCCAGCACTGGTACAACAGCCGTACCCAGCACAAGCACAGTTGTACCCAGCACTGGTACATCAGCAGCCAGCACCAGCTCAGAAGCAGCTGAACCCACAGCAGCAGCGAGCACCAGCAAAGCTGATGCAAACATCTAAAAACATCATGTGCAGCGTGAACAGTTAGAACAAGTGTTAAATTTAAGTGTGTACACAGTGTTAAAATTAAAGTTGCAGTAATTTTAGTGTACAATAGTTTTCATAAACTGTATTGTAGTACTCAACATACAGCAGAACTACTTTTAATCAACACAGTGCTAACGGCATAATGCACTGCAATACGTATTTAATGTTGAGCATTCACAACTTCATGAAACTTCAAGATGGACATAACTTCAACAGTAAGGTAAATTTATGAATTACAGTATTTTTTAGTAGATAAGTAATATATAGGTACAGTATGCAATATGATAATGCATTTTTATTGTGTACAAGAAAAAAAAAAAGACTGACACAAATGCCTCCTGAAGGTCACCTCTTGCAACGAATCCAACGCTCCAACGAACTGGGGTTGGTCCCATATAGTACGTTGAATCGAGGTTGTACTGTATATGTGCTACGAAGGTTCCTAAGTACCTGCTAAGAATGCGGCAAAGTGCGATTCATTGAAGTATGCTTATGAAGATTTTAAGTAGTTCACTAAGTATGTGGGCCAATAGGCCCTTTGCAGTTACTTCCATCCTTATGCTCTCATATATCCAAATAATACCCATTGTTTCCGTGTTCTCTCTTGTGTTTGTCGAAAGTTTGTTCACCTCATCCAAAACTGTTGCACCATGTCACCTCACCCAAGTGCGAGTATATAAGATGGATAAGCTGTTTAGTGTTAGCATAAGTAAAACTCTGTTTAGTGTTTTTAGGTTACAGTTGTGTGTGTAAACTAAAGTCTTTGAAAATGCAATAAGTTATTATGAAACGCGTTCAAGCGTCGCGTCAGACTAGAAATAAAAATGAATTTTGGAGAATTGATTTTTCAATTACCAGCAACAGTAAAAAGAAACATAAGAACTATTGAGAAAATTTGTGTTAGAAATATTAATCTTATTTTTTTGGTCATATTTAACATACATACATACATACCTGTACATACATATACAGTACAACCTCGATTAAACGTACCCCGATTCAACGAATCTCCAGCTAGTTCCCACACTTTTCAGGGTGGATTTACTCACCCGGTTCGACCAACAACGATTCGCTGAAGCGGGGGATGTTCGGATTTGCTTATGACTTCGAGACAGAGTTCACAGACTGGTGGAAAACTTTCCCATAGATTACAATTATTAATTCCTTCATATGACAAGTTCGATCACACAAGTGGACCACACAAGTGGACCACAAGTGGTCGACAAGCTTACGATGTTGGGACAGTGTTCACAGAGTGGTGGAAAACTGTCTCATTCTATCACAGATTACAATTAATAATTCCTTCATAAGACAAGTTGGATCACAAGTTAACCACACAACAAGTGAACCATATGAACCAAACACCAGTCAGAATGGTCCACAAGAAGTGACGCATATTAACCAAATACCAGCCAGAGTCGTCCACACAAGTGAACAACTTGAGTTTGAATGATTTTCGTTCACCGATTTGTGGCACACATATCTTTATAAATTAATTTAAAGGCTGAAGCGTGAATAGCTAGCTAATGTGTTGAAATCTTCTTATATACATTTTCTGTGATGAAACAAGATGAGTGAGGGTGGACAGATAAGAGAATACTGTACAGTACTGTACTGTTCACTCACTTTCATCTGTGTCGTCATAGTTCAGTGACCCATGACTTTGAACGTTTCACATTAATAAATCATTTCTAAAACTGGGGTTTTAATAACTATTTATTATTCTAATTATCTTGAGAGGATTTCGGGGCTTTTTAGTGTCCCCGCGGCCCGGTCCTCGACCAGGCCTCCACCCCCAGGAAGCAGCCCGTGACAGCTGACTAACACCCAGGTACCTATTTACTGCTAGGTAACAGGGGCATAGGGTGAAAGAAACTCTGCCCATTGTTTCTCGCCGGCGCCCGGGATCGAACCCGGGACCACAGGATCACAGTCTAGCGTGCTGTCCGCTCGGCCGACCGGCTCCCTCTAATTAAAAATAAATTTAATTAAACTAAACTAAAAAAAAAAAATATATACTGTAAGATGATAGATATCTGCTATTTGAGAAATTATTCATGTTATTGGCGGCACAACTCCAGCATGAGTGTACAGGTCTAATCCATGTCCACACAACACCATGCTTGTTTTGTTCGATTTCGTCGCCACAGTTCAGTGATCTACGGCTTCGAAATAATAAAATTAATAAATCAGTTCCAAAGTATTTTTTATAGCTCTTATTACCGTAATAATGTTGCTAAACTAAATATGTAACCCAAAAATATATAATTTGATGTAAATCAAATATTTGAGAGAAATTTATGTTACTGGAAATCGAACACAACACCAGGCATGTTTTGTTCGATTTCGTCGCCACAGTTCAGTTCAAGTATTTTTTATAGCTCTTAACGCTTAAACTGCACATGGCGTATATATACGCCCTGAGTAACATATCCCACCGTGCGCATGGCGTATATATACGCCCAAGGGTGCCAGGCCCGATTCAAATGGCCCGCGGCTACACGGGGTTCACATTAGCTTCCTCAGGGCTCTTGTAAACAGACACCATTTTTTTTAAAAATCGTGGGCAATATTCTCAGGTGTGAGAGGCACCGTACTGTTGGAGCAACCAAGGCTGGCGCATGCAGCATGAGCGAACAGCATTGCTGTTCAGCTTGTGACCACAGCATCACCGAAAAATGTCAAAATAAATATATCATTGCTATTATTTAGCGATGACAATATTACAGATGACCCCTGACTGTGATATAAATAACCAGGGTTGTGATAATAGCTGGATTGTTGTAATAATTAGTGCTGTGGGACGAGTGATGCTGAGAGTCGGAGGGAGATAACATCGTTTACTGATTGTGTGGCCACCTGTTATTGTCTGCATTCACCATACCAGCTCAGTGGTTCTCTATGGTGAACACAAATGTAGATACTTATATATAATGTGTGTATTAGTGTAATAACAGCAAAAGGATTATGCTGGGAGGAGCCAGCCTTGCCCCATGCCCACGACCACGACCCAGCCCACGACCCCATGCCTTGACTAGCAACTTCGTTGATACGCGTATGAGCGACCGATCTCCTGGTTCCTGGTGGCATGGCCAACCCCGCCTCAATTTACCAGCGCCGCTCCGCTTAGTGACAATCGTGCTTGTAAAGAATTTCATTATTTTTGTGCGTTTTTGTTTTTTTAATATAAATGTAATTACAGTATTTTATATCATGCCATGGGGTCCCAAGAAAGTCAGTGGTAAGATTCAACCTAAGAAAACACATGAGAGGATGACCATAGAGGAAAAACAAGAGATCATCCGTAAAGATGAAAGTGGTATGAGGGTTGTTGATGTAGAGCAGAGGATGTCCCTTCCTCATTTATTAAGAAAATGTGTGCAGTATGGGAAGAATTGCATAGTTTTGTTGAAAAGTGTCAACAGTGAGGGATGCAAGCTGTAGCAGGCCACTGTGTTAACCTTTTTAATGACTATGTAATGTCTCACTTCAGACAAATGTTACAACATAGGAAAAAACAAGTGTCGCTAGACAGGTTCTTAGTGAGAAAACAAGCAGTGAGCCACAACCAGATCCTGGTGGTATGCAGGCAAAACATAGGAGGAGAGAGTACCCCAGAAAAGCTATCACTGCCTGATGTTATAATGGAAGTGGACTCCCCTTCCAAACACTACCACCTCTCCTCCTCCTCCTCACCATCTTCCATACACCAATAAGTCCTCATTCAAGTTAAGATATACATACAGTACTGTATTGTAGCTAGTACAAAATGAGTTATTTGGTATAAAATGTATTTCCAAGTTAATATTTTTGGGGTGTGGAACAGATTAATTCAAGTTACATTATTTCTTATGGGGAAAAATTTGTTTCGACTTGCAAATTTTCGACTTACGACCTGTCTCTGGGAATGGATTAAATTCGTTAGTCGAGGCCCCACTGTAAAAGAATTGTATCTAAGTCTAACAAACATTACTATCTCAATGAAATAATATTTATTTGCTTCAAGACTTACTTCATTCGTTGGCGTCGTTCTTCCCGCTTAATTGCCAAGACTTGTGCTAAATCATACTGTTCCTCTCCAATATGTCGACTTATGTTTGCATGTAAGCGCAGGAATGAGGTCAAACGAGGAGGACCTAGAACTGCACAAATATAAAACTATATTAGATTAAATTCATATTACTATACAAGTTCAGCATACAATCTTTACAAAGGCACACCTGATTTTTAATAACTTGATTTGCTCAAAATATATATCAGCTTATACACCACTCAATATACACTTGCTTATTTACAATACAAACTCAGTCAACTTATGAACCATTCAAAACCCATATCTGTAAACCGCTCAAGGTCCCACTTGCTGTTGCACAACTCAGAACACAAATGCCAAACACAAATGTGCAGGGCACCCAACGAAAGAATCATGATTGCCTGGGAGCCCTGAGACTTGCTGCTTGGCACACAGGCAAGTTCGGGAAACACAGGTAGGGGCCCAGGAACGGTTCTAGGAACTAAGGAGTCCCAAATCCTGAGGGGCCCCCGACACCAGAGGCCCCAGGGTATATTAAAACAAACCTGGAGGAGCCATACAGACCACTCCTAGAGAAAAGTAGAGCTGCAGCCACCACCAAGCAGCAGTAACAAGTGCCCAAACACCAAAATGACATAGGGAGGGGAGGGAATTATCAGGGGAAAAGTGCCAAGTTATTACAACTATACAGTACTTGGAAGGGGCCAGTATAAGGATTTGAAATGGGACGAGGGAAAGGAATGGTGCCCAACCACTTGGGCAGTTGGGGATTGAATGCCGACCTGCATGAAGCGAGACCATTGCCCTGCCATCCAGCCCAAGTGGTTACATAGGGAGGCCCATCCTGAACAAAGAGCAGAGCACACTTTGAAAGGCTGCCATTACCTGCAACAGGCACAGTAAAAACAATACTACAGACAGCACTACAAGGCCCACCGAAGGCCCAACAGTAAAGGGAACCACAGGGTCCATGAACCAGGGTTGGAACCAAAAAGGCCCCAGACACATGGTAACCCCCAGTGAGGGTGCAAAGAAGAAAGGACCGATCTGTGTACCATGAATAAAGGGCGAAAGACACAGCAGGAAGAAGTATTCATTGTTCCCAGAACATAACCCCCCCTCATGAAGAGACCAGGACCACTAAACATCCTCATTAGCACCAAGCCACCAGCATTCACATCAAAACAACAAAGGGCAAAGGGCAGAAGCTTCTCCAATGGCAGCACCATGAGCCTGAGCAAAAGTGAAGGAAAAATAGGAATGTCACCAAATGAGACCAGCATAACCCCAGAGAAAAACGTACACACAAGATAGCACAAAATTCAAATCCTCCTTATGGCTCCTACTGATTTTCTCATTGATACATCACATTAATGTGATTTCTTTGTGCATTTTATGTACATGTTTGCTGATGATGCTAAGCTATTAAGGGCAGATATGAAACTTAGATGAATGTCATGCCCTTCAAGATGACCTGGACAAAATAAGTGTATGGAGGAACACTTGGCAGATGAAATTTAATGTGAATAAATGACATGTTATGGAATGTAGAATAGGAGAAAATAGGCCACACATACAACTTACAAATTGGGTGTGTGAATTCCATGTGAATTCACCAACGGCCTCCCACTCGACCCTTTCTAAATCTAATGAAATTTTGTTATAAAGTAGCCCTAGACCCCAAATGAAAATGTGGAAAATATTAGAGCTCAATCTGCTTTGGTTCTTAAATAACAGGTCCATACTGAATGGCTCTCGTCCCGTTAATGCGTAAATAACCACAAAAATTTACCAACTTTGACCCTTTGTTAAATCACGACTAGTGCCCAGTGAGGTGTGAAATTTGGCATACCAGGGCAACTTTTGATGTGGAATACAGCAGTGTAATCAAAAATGCAGTTTGGGTAGCCATTCAGCTACCAATCCATGCTAATATCACTGCCAATATATCTCAAAATATCTCAATTGAAGATTGAGAATTTTGAAGAATTCTTCAAACCTAGAACTTCAAGAGCAAGCAGTCATTCAAGGTAAGGAAACAAAGCTGCTAAAGAAATATTAGAAAGTTCACTTTCGCAAACAGAGTGGCATACAATTGGAACATGTGAGGTGGTGATAAGAGGCCAAAACCATCAGTAGTTTCAAAGTCATATGACAAAAAGTACTGGGAAGATGGGACACCACAAGTGTAGCTCTCATCCTGCAAGTACATACACTTATGCATTTACACCTTGCCAACTATTGTTTCCCTTCTCTTATTAATGTTATACTTGCTTGAGAGCAATTTTTTTCTTTTTTGTTGTGCCTGTGACTTTCTGGGCAGCTACCTCACTTTTGAATATCTCTGATCCCCACACCAATGAGTGAACCAAATTCTGATTCTGATTTCCAAGAGACTGCATAAATGTCAGACTTGGTACCATTGGGAGACTCTGCGGTACCAGTGCCTCAGCTCCGAGGAGCAACTGAGAGGATGAGCACAAAACTACACAATACGTTCATCATTTATTCATTAATTAAAATCATCATATAATATGAACATGTTGCAAAATTAGATTACTCACCTCTTCCACCATGTGGTGCCATCCTGTACTGATTCTGGGAAGCTTTTATTCTGTTAAGGTATAAACAAATAACAATATATTAGTGGATAAAATTTTGTGAAATCTCAACAGAATCCTATTTTCAACAAATTCACAGCAAATTTGTGCATGGTTGACATTTTTTGCAAGATATATAGAACAAAATACAGAAGGGGTCCCCATTACTCAAGGATCTTGTGCAATTTTTAATCATAAAGTAGTGTCAAGAACCTTTAGAGTTTCACCGACAAATAATTTCACTGGTACCGTAGCAACAAAGTCACTAATGTTGAAAATAAACAAGAGATTTGCCAATTTATCGATACCGTGTCATCCTATCATCTAATTTTCTTTTTTAAATAGATGGGTACAGGAGCAGTTTACTTCTGCCTCCTATTAGCAGGCTTCCGATTGCCTATGCCTGGTGTAATATTTACCAATCTGCTCACAAGCAGGTTCCCAGTCACTGTTGGCTGAACATGGATGAACAGTTAAGAATCAAAGACCAACTCTCTCACTCTACCCAGACCTCGAACCTGTGCCAATATCAGTCATGAGGCACAGAGTGAGCATGCTACGGCTACACTAAAGAGATTGGGACAAACATATTATGAAACTTTTCTGTTTTAACAAAACAGAATCTAGGGATATGCCCATAACATGCAACATAATAAAAAAGAACACTGGCAAATTAAAGGACTCATAAGCCCCAGGTGTAGATGAAATTCAATCCAAAGTCTTAACACTTTCGTCCCACGTGGACGTCTGCGACATCCACAATTAAAATATTTGTTAAAACTATTTGTTTTCCGATCATTACGAAACTAGTTTCAAAATGCTCGCCTTTAGATTGTGAACCATTTGAGATCAGAATGAAAGACATAGCATGAAAACTGAGTTGAGAAAACTGAACAGAGTATACACATTTTATTGTAGGTGGGCAGACTGGCGCTCGCTACTGGGTAATGCTCAGCGGACTTTCTTGTTTGCTGTGGGTAGCGCGCCTGTTTATTTTTATCTAATATACATATATTCCTTTAGAAAATTCTATTGTGAACAAATTGATACCAAAATGAACGATGTAACACGAAAATTAATAGGTAACGCTCATGGATAACGCACAGCCGATTTTCAGGTTTGCTGAGAGTGGCACGTCGGGCTTTTTTACCTTAAATGCATATATCCCTTTAGAGAATTCTATTGCGAACAATTTGATACCAAAATGAATGCTGTAACACGAAAATTGAAGTGAGAAAACACATTTTAGTGTGGGTGTTGTGGGTGTGCGGATGTGTGCTCACTCACGGAAAATGCATGGCGGATTTTCGGGTTTGCTGAGGGTGGCACACCAGACGTTTTGACTTTATATGCATATAAGCCTGTAGGGAATTCTATTGCGAACAATTTGATACCAAAATGAATGACGTACAACACATATTGATGTGAGAAAACTGAAAGAGTAGTACCCTGTACAGTGGAACCTCGATTAACTAATATAATCCATTATGGCACTGAGCTTTTCATGTGAAATGCTCGTCTTTCAAAACGAATTGTCCCATTTGAAATACAGTATTGGAAATAAAAATAATCTGTTCCACCACCGAAAAACATCAATATGATATTTGAATATTTAAATAATGGAGCAGCCCGGGACCCCCTGATGAACAGCCGAAGGCGGGACCACAGCCGCAGCAACACTTCTGGAGGGAAAGACAAGGAGCGGCGCAAGAGCCCGAAACAAGACCCAGCCAGGTCCGAACCCGGGACGGAAACAGAAGGCACGGCCTCCAGATCACCAGGAAACCAAACCCAGCAATCTAGAAAGAACCATACCCCTGGCGAGCAGACAAGCGAACCGACTGGGAGCCCACACCAGCCAGTCGTCGAGGTAGGCCAGACACCGAATCCAAGGGCAGACTCAGACAGGGCACCAAGATCCGGTAAAGATGTGTAAATACACCAAGTGCCAATTACAAAATAGGGAAGGCAAACAAAAGTGGCAAGCATGAAGCCCCACCACCAACTGTGCCAGTCCCGGAAAACTGGAGAAGAATGTGCCAAAAGGAGACCTGGAGGTCCAGAGGTACCATCCAGGCACTTGGCCCCAACAAAAGCCGAACAGGAGACGCAGGCTGTAGTAGTCCAGAAGAACCATAGATTCGCCAGGCCCGTGTCTGCATAGAGCATACTGGAACCCCAGAATGATGGGGTGGAACGACCACGTCCAACGCACCCACCAAGATGACATGACGAAGCGCAGGGGAAGAAGCCCTCCCCGCCAGCCCTGAACCCCCAAAAAGGGGGGAGGAGCCATCCGCCGCCGCCATCAGAGGCCAGAAGACAACCAAAAGCGTCCACTAACTGCGGGACCATGCGAGAGTCAACAGAGCAAGCTGCTCCCCCAGCGCCCCATCAACAGAAAAAGTATACACACACATATACACATACAATATATATGAAAAGAAAATTACAAGCCGCCGGCCAAGCGAAAAAGGCACAAAACTGCATCAAAAGGCCCACCTCAACAACAAAACCCCAAAGTCCCAGCCCGACCACAACGCGTGCCAAGACCCAAAAAGATCAGTCTGCAAGCCTGGAAGACCCCGGAACGCCAGAAGGCAGAACCGGGTCACACATGAGGAAACAAAGCCCCCTGAACCCACAAAGGGGGCCCAAGAGGAAGAAACCTCCGAAACGAAACCAAAGAACCCAAAGGAACCCAGAAACGAACCATGGGGGGGCCCAAACCACCACATTTGCTGGCGGAGCTACACCACAGAAAGGCAAAGCACAGCCCCCAGACAGAAAACCCGTAGGGAAACGGACAAAACAGACCGAAAACCGAGGGACAAGGTGTGGGAGCAAGCATAACAGACAGGGACTGAGCCCAAACCCTAGGACCCAGACCCAAAACAGACAAAACGGAAAACCCGGTGTCAAATCAACACTCAAATGTTCCCAGAGGAACAGAAGACGGGCAGAAAACACCAGAAAAGCAAAGAAACGACAACAGGAGAATAAAACTCCTGAAAAAGGTGAAAAAAACTCACCCGAGAAGCTCGCTCGCACACCGAGGCGCATGTAAACAAACCGCAACACCGCCCTGGTGGCCACGCCGGGAAACTGGCAGAAGAAAATGGCCGCCAGAACAGAGGGCTGTGACCGACACAAAAGATACGAAAACACGCCAGCAAAAGTGGGAAGCAAGCAGACTGGAAGGTCGAAAAACTCCGCCTAGACTCAGAAAACCCAGACAGGGGCAAACCACCCCAGAACTGCTAGCAGGCATCCCCCACAGCCCCGGAACCAGCAATAGAGGCCCCGGAGCAGAGCCGTCTTCCAAGCCCTCCGCCCTTAAAGAAAAGGAAGAGTCCATGGGAAAGGCAGCAAGAAAGGGCCGCTGGTAAGACCCAGAAGCCTTGGCAGGAGGAACAGGCTCGAAAACCTCCGTCCCCAACCCAAACGGGGCAGCCCCCGAAACCGCCCGAGTCAGGGGCCTCAACTAAACCCCGCCCCGACCCCGAAACCCGCCGACGGTCCGGAGCCAGGAACAGGGAGGGAAAGGGGCGAACAGCACCTAATCAAAATGGGGCGGCCTCGAGGCATCCGAGTGGGAAACACACCTAGCATGTTGCAGCAACCTAACCCACCCTGCAACACGGATGCCGCCTGTACTCTGAACCGTAATAACATCAGGAGAGTACTGGAGAACAAGAAGAGAATCTCTCTCGCTAGACTCCAGGTCAAGGTGTCAGTGACCCAACAGGCAACATGACGTAGGTAAAAATAGCGACTGTCACCCAGAGACAAAGGCACAGCAATCAACTATCCCGTACGAGACAGGTTGGGACCTGGAAGACACATACAATAGTCCACCGAGCCCTGACAGGGGTTTCCAGGGCCCATAGGGGTAACAACTACGGGAAACCCGGGCAACGTGTTGCTAACCGGTTAAACATCCAAAATTAACAAGGGGTAGAGTATAACACTGAAAACCCCTGCGACGTGAACAATCACAGGGGCCTAGCAGAGAGCCACCAAACACTACCAGTGGAACTATAGCCACACTAGGCAGACCTTCACCAGGCAAATGAAAATAAAAACAAAAGAAAAACCCTGCAAAAGTACACCGTCTCCAGAGGCAACAGGAACCATGCTGTGCAACACCTTGACCCCTAACCAGCACAATACCAGTCCCTACCTAGGGCCAAACAAGGGCCCCAAGTCCCAGCTGGCCCCAAGGGCGAGGTAAATGCCGAGCAGCAAGAACCTCTACGGGAATGGTTCCCGAACGCCCCAAGGAAGATAACCCTGTTACACAAGGGCAGTACTCACAGGGCGCTTAGGGAAGTCAGCCACTAAGCGCATGCACTCATCCGGCACTGACGAGGTACTACTGGCCACCGCACACCACAACACACGGCAGTGAACGCCACACAAGGCAAACACCGCCTAGGAAGCTGAGGCCAGAGAAGCGTCTATCCCGGTTGACATTAGCTTGCGAACTGATGCTAGGCAGCCGGCGCGGTAGGTCCGGGGCTCCCCCATCCCCCTCTTGGGGGGTGGAGGGCTGCGCGGACGATCGGTGCGGCAGTAAAGTGTGATGTTTACTTGTTTCCTTGGGATTGTAGGGAGTTTCTACCTCTCTGTTCGGTTTTTTGTTTTAGTTTTTACCATGTGGGGTTTGTTTTGTCATGCCTACCTTTCTGGGTGCCTGACCCCGGTCGATGGCAGATAAGGAAAACCCCAACCACAAAGGGGTTTTCCAGGGCCATTGCTCCCTGAAACCTTTCTGAAGGGGCCAGGTTCTGGCGCTGGTCCCTGGTAGGTCTGAACTCCTTAGCTAATGTCCCAGTCTAATATAACATACATTAGCCCGATAAGCTCCAGGGAGTCGTAGGGGCTCCCCCAAGAAAAAAAAATGGACAAATGTCATAAAGATTCGTTCAGTGTTTGTCAGGTAGGAAGCTCCATTATGACAATCTTTCTTTGTTTCAAATGTGTTCAATTTATTTTGTATTTTTCATTTATTTATTAATAATGGAGCAGCCTACCTGCCACACACTGAATGAACCTTTATGACATTTGTCTGTTTTTCAAATTTGTTCATTTTTTTTTTAAGGATCATGGAGCAGCCTACCTGACAAACACCGAACGAACCTTTTCAACATTTGTTCTTTTACAAATTTTTTCATTTATTTTATTCTTCAAAAAAATTCAATGCTTTGCAACACCACAGCAGTCACCCCTTTACATCCTGGCATCATTAGCATCATTAAAAAAAAAAAAAAAGAGCGTTGAATGTAAAGAAACGCTGGTTAAGAACGGCTTTAGGAAACCCCTTGTTGTTGGGAGCATTCTATGTCTGCCATCGACCGGGATAGGCACCCAGAAAGGTAGGCGCCCCAAAAACCCTTATTCTGGTGAAAATATTGCTACTGAAAGCCGAATGAGTGAACAGAACTCCCCAAACAAAATTATCAAACTAGCATGACTTCATCACGTCGCCGCACCACCGTCTGCATAACCCCCCCCTCCCCGGGAGGGGGAAGGGGAAAGCCCCAGACCCTCCACGCCGGCAATCCAACTGGCAGTTCTTAGATTGGATGTCAAAATACGCGAAAAACACCGTTGACCGGAGGGAGGGAGGGATGCCGGGGAGCCTCCGGGACTCGCCCAGAAAATGGCGTTTTATTACATTCAACACTGGTTTTCTGGGGGAGCCCCGTAAGCTCCCCAGAGCTACCTCACCACAGATAAGGAAAATAAGGAAGGAACCGGGAGGCGGATGCCACGCGCCCTAACCTAAAAAACCAAGACCCTGCAGACCCGAACCCCCGAACAGGGACGAGGGAAGAAGGGAATGCGAACAACCAAAACGCGCCAACGACCCCAGAGGCCTAGACGCGCAGAGAACTGCGAGAGAAAAAAAAAAGGGGACTGAACAACAAAGGAAGCACCCCTTCAGCTCGACCAACCAAGCAGCAACCCAAAGACCAAAACGAGAAGACAATAAACCACCCAGGCCAACGACCAGGATGGCACCAGAACTCAAGAGCAGGCCGAAGGTGAAACAACGCCCAGGACAGCAAGTGAAACAGAGCAGAAGGAACCTCAACACCAAACGCAAGCATGAGTGGCTCCTCAGCACCAGCCATTACAAGGTGACAGGACACGGTCCCAGACGACGGTCCCGGAACAACCCCGAAGGGAAGACAAGCCAACCCAATCAGAGACCGAAGGAACCTTCGCAGTGATAGGAAAACCGGAAGGACCCCCAAGAAAACCACACATCGTCTCAGAGACGAAACATGCAGGTGGGAGACCAACAACGAACCCACCAGTGCCGACACAAATGATGAGAAACGAGGACCACAAACAAAAGCGCAAAATGCGAATAAAAAACCCCACAACCCAAAGGAGCAACATAACCAGCTCCAGCAGGGAAGAATGATGCACGTGTCCCTGAGGCATCCAAAAGGATGCCTCAGGGACATCCAAAAGGATGCATCTAGATGCATTTTAGATCCTTTTGATGCATCTAAAAGGATGCATCTACACAGGACGTGAACCGCAGGAAAGCAAACACACCCGTTCCGGAAAAGGAACAGAGAAAAACCGGAGCCAGGACCGGAACCCAGTTACCGGTTCCAAGAAAAGGAACCAGTAAGGCAGGAGCGGCGGACTGAAAGTCCACAACCCCCCACAGACAGTGCAACACCGAAGCCTGCAGTAAGTCACAAAGAAAAATCGTAGGAACTCGGTAACAAAACGGAACACCAGAGAAGTCCAAAAGCAAGGAACTGAACATGGACAGAGGCCCACCCGAGCACCTAACATCAGGATAGTCAAGAAGCACCGACTCAGATACACTGAAGATACATATACACCGACTCATTCTGGAGACATTCTTGTATCAACACATAAAGCAAGCCACAAGAATGAGGGAAGGAGATGTACCGTCAGTACTGGATCTAGTATTCACCAGGAAAGAAGAAGAGATTTTTGACATCCAGTACCTTCCTCCCTTGGGAAAGAGTGATCACGTCCTGTTAGACATTAAATATGCTTTAAGATATCATCTAGAAGAAAATGGGGACATTGAAACAGTTGATAAACTCGATTTAAAGAGAGGCAACTATGGGGAACTTCAAAATTTTTTTAATGAGTGTAATTCGACAGAATTGTTGCTAGGTAGGGAAGTAAATGAAATGTATGCCAAATTTTTAAAACTATGCGAGGAAGGCACACAAACATTCATACCAAAACAGAGATGCAGGGCCAGAAAACAGGATTGGTTCGACAGAAATTGTGAGAGGGCAAGAGACCAAAAGACACAAAAATGGAATCAGTATAGGAAGAGGCCAAACCCCCAAACATACCAGCGATACAAAGATGCGAGAAACAACTATACAGCAGTAAGGAGAGAGGCAGAAAGAAATTTTGAAAAAGGGATAGCAGATAAATGTAAAACAGAACCGGGCCTATTCTTCAAATTCATAAACAACAAATTGCAGGTAAAGGATAATATCCAGAGGTTGAAAATGGGAAACAGATTCACGGAAAATGAAAAGGAAATGTGTGAAACATTAAATGAAAAGTTCCAAAGTTTGTTTGTACAAAATGAAATCTTCAGAGAACCAGACACAATAAGAATTCCAGAGAACAACATAGAGCGGATAGAGGTGTCTAGAGATGAAGTGGAAAATATGCTAAAGGAGCTCGGGAAGAACAAAGCAGCTGGCCCAGATGGCGTTTCACCATGGGTTCTGAGAGAATGTGCATCTGAGCTCAGCATTCCACTTCACCTGATCTTTCAGGCATCCCTGTGTACAGGAATCGTAGCAGACGTGTGGAAACAGGCTAACATATTTCCAATCTACAAAAGTGGCAGCAGGGAAGACCCCCTCAATTATAGACCTGTATCATTGACAAGTGTAATAGTGAAAGTATTGGAAAAGCTAATCAAAACTAAATGGGTAGAACACCTGGAGAGAAATGATATAATATCAGACAGACAGTATGGTTTTCGATCTGGAAGATCCTGTGTATCGAATTTACTCAGTTTCTATGATCGAGCCACAGAGATATTACAGGAAAGAGATGGTTGGGTTGACTGCATCTATCTGGACCTAAAAAAGGCTTTCGACAGAGTTCCACATAAGAGGTTGTTCTGGAAACTGGAAAATATTGGAGGGGTGACAGGTAAGCTTCTAACATGGATGAAAAATTTTCTGACTGATAGAAAAATGAGGGCAGTAATCAGAGGCAATGTATCGGAATGGAGAAATGTCACAAGTGGAGTACCACAGGGTTCAGTTCTTGCACCAGTGATGTTTATTGTGTACATAAATGATCTACCAGTTGGTATACAGAATTATATGAACATGTTTGCTGATGATGCTAAGATAATAGGAAGGATAAGAAATTTAGATGATTGTCATGCCCTTCAAGAAGAACTGGACAAAATAAGTATATGGAGCACCACCTGGCAAATGGAATTTAATGTTAATAAATGTCATGTTATGGAATGTGGAATAGGAGAACATAGACCCCATACAACCTATATATTATGTGAAAAATCTTTAAAGGATTCTGATAAAGAATGAGATCTAGGAGGGGTTCTAGATAGAAAACTATCACCTGAGGACCACATAAAGAATATTGTGCAAGGAGCCTATGCGATGCTTTCTAACTTCAGAATTGCATTTAAATACATGGATGGCGATATACTAAAGAAATTGTTCATGACTTTTGTTAGGCCAAAGCTAGAATATGCAGTTGTTGTGTGGTGCCCATATCTTAAGAAGCACATCGACAAACTGGAAAAGGTGCAAAGACATGCTACGAAGTGGCTCCCAGAACTGAAGGGCAAGAGCTACGAGGAGAGGTTGGAAGCATTAAACATGCCAAAACTAGAAGACAGAAGAAAAAGAGGTGATATGATCACTACATACAAAATAGTAACAGGAATTGATAAAATCGACAGGGAAGATTTCCTGAGACCTGGCACTTCAAGAACAAGAGGTCATAGATTTAAACTAGCTAAACACAGATGCCGAAGAAATATAAGAAAATTCACCTTCGCAAATAGAGTGGTAGACGGTTGGAACAAGTTAAGTGAGAAGGTGGTGGAGGCCAAGACCGTCAGTAGTTTCAAAGCGTTATATGACAAAGAGTGCTGGGAAGACGGGACACCACGAGCATAGCTCTCATCCTGTAACTACACTTAGGTAATTACACACTTAGGTAATTACAGACAAGTGTGGCATAGGAGGAAAAACGGAGAGGCAAGGAAAACCCCGAATACAGACCAAGGAGCGGCCGGGAAGTAATGTACACGACCAACCACAAAGTATGCAGTGGAGGGCGTACATACCCGAGGGACCTCATGGACAGCAGGGCACAGACAGGCACCGAAGATAGGCAAAGAATGAGTGTCCAGATAGGGAAAAAACCCAGGTGCCGACAACGAAACCAAAAGCACCGAAATGCGGAGCAGAGCCCCACAGGACAACAAAGAACAAGCTACAGGTACAAAGGAAAGTCACTTAAGACACACGCAAGGTGACCAAACAACACCACACCAAACACCCCCTGTTAGGAGCCATCGACGCAACCCCGCCAAGCGGGGAAGAAAGTAAACAAGGATGGAGCAGTGACCAAGGGTGGTAAAAGCACTTTTGTACACGAAACAAGGGGTATAAATTGGAGAAGTGTAAATTTAGGAAAGACTTGAGGAAATATTGGTACGGTAACCGGTCCGTTGATTTGTGGAACCAATTACCGCGTAACGTGGTGGAGGTGTGGTCCCACGATTGTGTCAAGCATGGGTTGGACATGTATATGAGTGGGATTGGGTCGTAAGAAAGAGGAGCGGCCTCATATGGGCCAATAGACCCTCTGCAGTTCCTCCGTTCGTATGTCCTTATGTTCGTATGCACAAGGAGACACAGCAGGAAGCCAAGTACCCAAAGGAGCCACAGACATGAAAAAGAACCTAATCAATGTCAGAGGAGATAGGAAGCAGAAAGCACTAGGAAGCTACGTGGTTATCTTGAGTTATCTTGAGATGATTTCGGGGCTTTTAGTGTCCCCGCGGCCCGGTCCTCGACCAGGCCTCCACCCCCAGGAAACAGCCCGTGACAGCTGACTAACACCCAGGTACCTATTTTACTGCTAGGTAACAGGGGCATAGGGTGAAAGAAACTCTGCCTATTGTTTCTCGCCGGCGCCTGGGATCGATCCCGGGACCACAGGATCACAAGTCCAGTGTGCACTATGTCCCACAAGTACGAAGGCCCCTACATTGTGACAGAAAAGACTGGGGACCTCACGTACAAAGTGAGGCACTCTGACAAGCGTAACCAGGTAATGCTCGTACATGTAAATCGGCTGAAGAAGTTCCAAGGCCCCAGGCCCATTGCACTAACCAATGTTTCCATTTCCAGTGAGGGAGGGGATGATTGTTCTGGGGACCCAACTAATCTCATTTTCAATAATTCTAGTTCTGTGAATGCTGTGGAGGAGGGACTGTCCCATTCGCAGATGGCCCAACGTGAAGAGGTGCAGTCGTTGCTTGATGAATTCTCCAGTGTGTTCGGGGAGGTCCCGACCCAGACTGATGCCATTTGCCATGATGTTAAGTTGACGGACTACACCCCCATTCGCCTTCAACCCTATCGGATGAGTCCAGAAAAGAAGGCCATCGTACGGAAGGAGGTCGACTTCTTGCTCCAGCACGGCCTAATCCGGCCGAGCCAGGGCTCTTGGTGCTCGCCCTGCCTTTTGGTCCCCAAACCAGACGGCTCCTGGCGATTATGCACCGACTATCGGCAGCTCAACAAGGTGACCATTGTGGATGCCTACCCGCTGCCCCTCCGCAAGGACTGCATCGACGAGCTGGGAAACGCCAAGTGCGTCTCGAAATTCGACCTCTCGAGGGGGTATTATCAAATCCCACTCACTGTACGTGCTAAACAACTAACTGCATTCGTGACACCCGAGGGTGTTTTTGAGTATCAAGTGTTACCGTTCGGCTTGCGTAATGCCCCTGCCACGTTCCAGAGGCTAATGAACTCTTTGCTCGCTAATGTGCCAAATTGTCGGGCGTATTTAGATGATATTGTGCTCTTTGACAGTAATTGGGCTGACCACATAGCTA